TTAGTGGGGGGGAGGGTCTTCAAAACTACAATGTCACAAGTGGGCTAAGATTTTGAACTTGTATCTCTGGAAAAGAGAGGTGGTTGTCTTATTATTTGGGTATTCTTTTAGGCGTTCTGTAGTTTTCAGGTGTAAGTTACTGCATTTTCTTGGCAGTTTGCTCCTAAATCAAAGCTGGCATCCAGACACAACTTTTTTTCTTGGATATTGGTTTTATTGCATTGTCTCCAAACAATACCTTTTTTGTTTGGTCAGGCAGTACTGATACTGTATACTGGGCTAAAGATCATGACCCAGTTTAGTCTATATATTGTTACAGGACTGTAAAGTAAAGTCTTTGTCTCTCTGCTGTCTCCCTTGCATACAGAAGCAGGGGCTCAGAGGAGGTGGAGTCATGAGTGCACAAGAGGCACCCAATCCTGGGAAGGAACAGGCAGATGGTGGGAGTGTGGCCACAGATGGCCCTTCACCAACCAAGAATACCAGTCCAGCACCTGTAACAGTAAAGAAAGAGCCTGGCACCTCGGAAACCAGCAACGGGAAAATGGGTGATGCAAACCCTGCTGAGATCTGTGTTGTCATCGGAGGAAGTGATGGAGGAGCAAGTGGAGGTGGATCTCGTAGAGCTCAGACCGAGGGTATGTTTGCCCTTGGTACTCCTCCTCCAACGAAGAGCACAGACTCATGCATAGGTGTGTGAATATACATATGGATTCATAAGGACATGTACACATGTTTGCTGAATTCAGTCATGCCTGGTCTCCTGACCTTGACCTTTTTTACTGACTGACAACATAGACTACACAGCAGAAACACTGTCCTGGTTACTCGGGATATTTCACTGACCTCACTCTGACCACTTTTTTCCTCTACAGAAGAAATGGCCCCTGTGAAAACTATTGATATCTCAAAACCTGTATGAATCAAACCAAGATTGTCTGCATGGCTACAGACTGAACCTTTAGGGATAAATGAGAATTTATTTTTATTATTTTTGTTAGAGTTGGTCAATTAGGTTCATGATTGAGTCAACTTTCCACCCATTTGCAGGTTCCTATGTGATGATAGTGATGATTATTTTTGTTGCAGCATCATCATTTGCAATAATTCACATATGTATATATGCGCAAATACATGTGCAAGTTCAGTTGCCAGTTTATTAGGCATACGTAGTTAAAGCTAATGCGGTCTTATACAGTTAAACATGCCTTCATCATTCCTCAAGATCTCATTAGAATCTTGGTTAATTTTAAGGTGAAGGGTGGACTTAAATTCAGAAACTATAAAACATTGCATTGAATGTGGCAAATACTTAGAGCTAAGAACATTAACTGATGTTGGTAATAATATGGTTTTACTGAGATATTCACTTTAGAGAATTATAAAGGTAGTCAGTCATGGTGTGTGTGTGTGTGTGTGTGTGTGTGTGTGTGTGTGTGTGTGAGAACTCCTGTTGTTACTTTGTTTTTATGACACTGTTTTGAATTTCCATGCAGGCTCCTATGTATGTGGGGTATGTGGGAAAAAGTACAAGTATTACAACTGCTTTCAGACGCACGTCAGGGCCCACAGAGGTAAGACCCTAGATATTTATGTATGCATTTGGACAATGTGGTTTTAAATTATTCACTTCTACATCAGTCATGCATGCCCTGTTACTTTAGAGAATTATAAAGGTAGTGAGTCATGGTGTGTGTGTGTGTGTGTGTGTGTGTGTGTGTGTGTGTGTGAGAACTCCTGTTGTTACTTTGTTTTTATGACACTGTTTTGAATTTCCATGCAGGCTCCTATGTATGTGGGGTATGTGGGAAAAAGTACAAGTATTACAACTGCTTTCAGACGCACGTCAGGGCCCACAGAGGTAAGACCCTAGATATTTATGTATGCATTTGGACAATGTGGTTTTAAATTATTCACTTCTACATCAGTCATGCATGCCCTGTTTTGGCCAAGATTGTATCTAAATTATTTATTTATTAACTCTGAATGGATGTAGAGATAGTAAATTTAGCACAAAATGGAAGCCGTGAACAGATGTGAGCACACTGTAACATTCATCTATTCACAGATTTTATTTTTTACTGCAGAATCAGAGAGCATGGTTGGAGATGGTCTACCCCAGACACCCAACAGTGAGTACGCTCTTGCATACTCATCCATTAAAGTCAAGTTTCTCAGCATGTCGGCACAAGCTGCTGACTTCATACTTGGGTCAGATATCTTAGATTTCCATGCTGCAGACTAAAACAGTGCACTAAAATTTAACTAAAGATACTTTTACATGACTTAGCAGCTGAAGTCACATTAGTTGCTTGCCATGCTCCTCCCTCTCTTGTCCCTCTCTCCCTCTCAGTCTTGTCTCCTCACTGCCTTCCTATAGGAGACATTCTTGTCATGTACTTATAAGGCTACATCCAACTTTACCTCAGCAATTCTAGTCCAGGAATGTCATGTACTGTCAGTGTTCTGATGGGCACACTTTAATATTTTGCTGATAAAATTTGTTTAGTTCAATTAGTTAAAGAACCACTCCAGATTTCCTTTAAAATGTATAAAAATACTGCTGTGAAAAATGAACTGTCGGTTATAACTTTTCTACAAAAATAAGTAAGTAAAAATAATCAATTAACACTAGACCATGAATGACTTCAAGACTATTTTGGTTTTCACAAAATTTAGTTGGTACATATGCTTTTAAAGTGAGATTTAATGTCGGCACAGAGAAACTTTCTCACTCAGCAGATGAATGTGAAAACGGCCTTCTAGTTCCAAACACGTATATTATTCTGCACAGTGAAGATCAAACATCCAGCTGTAGTAATAATAAGCAAAACCCTTTTTTTTTCCAGTGGACAGGGGCTTTAAACTGAGCCAGTTTAAACTGAACACTCCCACACTGGACCCTCATTGTCTGGAAGCACCAGTTCTTCTAATTCAACTGAGGTCAGCCTGAAACTACCAACAAAGATAAATACCACCCTGCAGGTTAACATGAGCTGCCAGGGCCTATATTTATCAGCCGTCTTAAAATCACTCCCAGGAATCATGGTGAAAGTTTGATTAGAACTAAAAATACTCATACCTCAGAGTAGTACTTGAGAGTTATTTATAAAGCTTCCTACATGCACTCTGAGCAATCATTATGTGAAAGCACACAGCGCTTAAAGGCAGCAGTATCATCAAGGCAGAGAGAAAGAGAGTAACCATCTTTATGCAGACAGAGCAACAGTAATTTGTGTAGCTCTATGAGGAATAGAAATGCAGTGTAGCCATAAGGTCTGGGACTGTTAATAAGCAGGCCAGAGAGGCTGCCTGGCTAGCTAGCTAAGTAAATATTTAACTAAAATAGATTAAATTCTTAAGAGGATGGGATTTGCTGTAATTCATCTTTGGTTGATGGCGCATATTTAGACTTCCTACTTGATAATGATAGACATGCCAATTTATAAGTGTATTTTTAAATAACTTGTTTGTATGAATAGTCCAAGTTGCCCCAAAAGATTGTGGCATTAAGAGGGCAGCACAGTGAAGACATGGCATTATTGGAATCTTGGTTTAAAGCCTGCAAGAGACCAAGTTTGTCCTTAATGATTGGTTACTTTAACAAGTTATTCTGGATCATTGTAAGCCTTCATTTTAAAACATTTTTAAAAGGTTTCAGTTGGTATGTTTTTTTTTTTTTCTGAGTTATTGTTTTAAATATGCCTGCATTGAAGGAGTGTAGGCATGGAAAATGTTTTGAAAACCACAAAAATGAGCATGTTGTATTGTTGTAGAGGGGCTCTTTGAGTTGGATAGAATAAGCTTTCCCAAGTTCTGACTATCTGACTAAGTAGACCCTCAGAACACCCTCTGATTCATTCCCAATTTTTATGTGATGAGTGGACAGTAAAGGCTTTGAAAATGATTTTCATCCTCTCTGAAATTTGTTTTTTGACAGTGTGTGGATTTGATTTGTGATTTTATTTTATTTTTCTGTGAGCCTTGTTGCTATTAAGCATAAATTTCATTAATCCTTTTGCTGTGAAGAAACTCATCGTTATAAATCAGCTGTTAACTTTTCTGTACCCCCTTGTGTCACATTTCCAGGAGAGCCATTTGTTTTGTTTCCAAAATAATAGGATATACATTTTGATAAAGGTTATAATACTTTCTAAAGAGATATTTTCAAAGTTAACGATAAGTTTTGTTTTAAAATATTTTTCACTGTATTTAAGTAGATCTTTGGTACCTCGGGAATCCAGCCAAAAATGCAGCTGACTGAATTAACAGAGTCAGAAAACTCTAAAGCTGTTGCTCTGCTGCTAATTGATAAAACATTTGTCAGTGTGAGGTGAGGGTCCTTCAGCTAGGGTGGCACATTGTTATGGAGGGAAGACTAGCCTCTGTCAGTGCACTGGAGAAAGGCAGTTAGAGTTTCATTTAGTCTTACAGTTGCTCTGTGCCATGCTGTTTATGCAACAGATTGCCTTCAGGTGGGATTCCTCTCTGGTGCCAAGTGTCACCTCAGGTATTCTTAATTGTCAGCAGCCACCTGGCTGCACAGTACTTTCCACTGCAACAAAATTAGCAAGAGTAAAACAAGTCATATACAGCCTTTATGTCCTTTAACTCTTTAAGCCCTCAGCAAACAACAATTGGCTGTGAAAGTTGTAAACATGTAACACTATTAACACACTTTCTAAAGCTTATGCTTGACTGATTTGGGCCATAATAAAATTTCAGTTCAGTGTTCCAGCTAACATGAGTTAGTTTGAATAGTGCCCTAGCAGTATCTGAGAGATTACAAATACATGGGGTTAGGGTTCAGCTAAAGTGTGTGCACTGTACTGCATTGTCCAAGGTTCTGTTTATGCCTTGTCATGTGATACTTTCACATCTCTCCTGCTCTCTGTACTTTAAAGTGTGCAGCAAAGCACAAGCTTGTTCTTCTTCTTCTTCTTCTTCTTCTTTTTTATATATTATTATAGGTTATTTTCTACAGTATGTGGATGGCAGTTTTGGATTCAATCATCCACAAATACTGCTTGTCATTGCCAGTAATATCCATTGTCTGCCCTGTGTATGTGTTAGTCAAATTTATACAGTGCCGTCTCTCTCTTTCTGTTCGTCTGCAGGTAGCTTCCGTTACTCCTGTGACATCTGTGGCAAGAAGTATAAATACTACAGCTGCTTCCAGGAGCACCGTGACCTGCATGCAGTTGATGGTAACCAGGAGCTTTTGGACAATTTGAATCCAGACCCAAATGGAAAACAATTCAAAAATCAACTGTCCATTTCATATTGTGCTAATCCTTACAGCAGCAAAACCTAAAGTTCGAAGTCAATAGGAGTAGATCAGAAAATGTGGTGTTCTTTAACTTGAAATAAAAAGCTACAAAATACAATATCAGGTGAGAAGTAATGCCCTCACTCTAATAATAGGCTGTCTCAGGTAAAGTGGATTTCAGACAGGCTCTTTCAGAATACACTGTAATTTGCCTAAATTCCATATTGTTCCCGTCGTCACAATACTTAACTACAAAATATCACTCTATGCAAGAATCTAGAGAAGTAAACAGTGGTGTGCATTCATCACTCTCCAGTGTAGGCAGAAAAGAAACACTGATAGATGCCTTGGTTGGTTGACGTTTCTGTTCTATTATGTCTATATTGTTGAGATGTATGAGATGTAAAATAAATGGGTATCTTAATGTTTCATATGATGTGAACTCAAATGGGTGGTTGTCAGGGCAATTTAGTGAAATTTTACTTTTTCAGTTCTACATTTTAAGATTGTTTTCATCCACTCTGTGGAAGAAGTAGAATTGCAGCTTATGTGCATCTCCTTTCTCCATCCCTCTCAGATCCTTATGAACAGGTGGTCTTACCTGTGGATGGCCTTAAAGAGGAGGAGCCAGTTGAACCGTATCAGAAAATTGGACCAAGTAAGACTGTTTGATGTACTTTATTTTAATTGTTTTAAAGAGAGCATCATCTGCAGCTGCTCTTTTGCATTTTGTGTTGTTGTACCCCGCAGAAGGAACTGATTAAATTAAAATAATTTCCCTGTAGCCAGTTGTTTCAAGGTTAGTTGATATAATTAGTTTTATCTTCCCAAATTTTCACAGATTAAGAAGATAAAATCAGAAATCTGAATTAAGACATATTTGTGTACTTGGCATTGAAACTCCCATTATAGTTTGACAGCTCAAGTCTACCTGTGTCTAGTTCAGTATGTTGGGCACAATTTTATTTATTTATTTATTTTATGAAGGATCTTAAGCCATGGTGATGATCCATATTAGAAAAATAACACTAAGCACATAAGCTAACTCCACACTGGAGAGAGGAAAAAGCACTCCCCTACTTCTGAGGAGACTGAAGGTTCAGCCGATAGCACCGGGTGTCCCTTCAAACACAGTTGGCAGTGTTCGCAGGTGGGAAGCCTGTACTTGTCACTGCACTAATGACTCTTACTGAGTGAGGGGGATAGGATAACCTCACACTTTGCAGAAAGACCATTGTGCTCTTATGTTGGCTAATTGTAAACTTTGAGGAGATATAAAACGCATTCAGAATCACCAGATCCTTCCTTTCCCACTCTGAGACCTCTTGTTTTCTTCTTCTCCCTTGTGACAAAAGACTTGAACAAAATTATTGTCTCTTTTTTAATTGAACTAGACAAATCCAACAAATTGGATCTTATTTGATATGATATGAGCTTTTATCACTAATATGGATTTTGGTGAAAACAAAGGTTTGTTTGTGTGTTTTCTTGTCATCAGAAACTGGGAGCTATGTTTGTGAGTTCTGTGGGAAACAGTACAAGTATTTCAACCCATACCAGGAGCATGTTGCACTTCATACACCAATGGGTAAACATGTTTTAGATACTGCTTAAAGTTGGCATGTGTGTAGGATTGTAAAATTTCTAGTGTTGCTTTAGAATTAAGCTATGTATAAAATGAATTATGTGATTTAAAAACAAAACTTCTTTGCATTGTATTGTTGATTTTCTCTAAACAATTTTGTTTAATACAAACAGTGCACAACCTTCAATTAATGTGCATTATGTAGGATATGCCTAACGTACTGAGATTTACTTCTAAATGTTTACAATGATAGTCTTGTGTATATATGAGGAGAAATCAGTATCAGAGTTGATGTCACTGGTCTAAACTAGAGCACTGAACTACAACTGACTCAGAATGTCTCTTGATGTAGGCTCCTTTGATATGAAGGCATCACAGGTACAGGAATGTGGCAGCATGGATATGAGTAAATTTGGCCCCAGCCAAACTAATAAAATAAAAAGTAAGCATCATTCTTTTCTTATACATTTTGCAGTAGTTCTGTTGATTGATTGTATAATGGTTGCAAAATTTGCATACCTCATAATTTGATAATACATGGAACATTCGTGACACATACAAGCACTGGACAGTGACTAAAATTTGATCATCAAGCCTTAGTGTCATGCACCTTGATTGGACAGTGACTAAAATTTGATCATCAAACCTTAGTGTCATGCACCTTGATAGTGTGTTTAGCCCTAGAGCAGTAAGTTTGTTTTCTTACCTTTTACTCAGAACCAAGTATAATATTTATAAATCACACATTATATTTGCCATTGATGATGTAGCACCTGAATGCTTTGTAACTGACTGAGGTTGCTAACAAAACAAATCATAATATTGAGTGGGGGGAAAAAAGTTGACCACAGCTTGATGTTGATAACATGGCAAAGGGACTGGAAACCAAACACCTACTGACTGAACTGCTGGGTAATTACTTTTTAAAATGACACCAAGACACTCATCACTTTCATGGCCACACAAGTTCTACCATGATCGCCATAGCTTGGTTTGAGGGCAGAGATGGTCAAAGTAATACCATGGTCCTGCTGTGTGGGTGTATTGGAAATGCCCATAAACATACGTACCTCACCACAGAGTTTTCTTGGTCTTCCAGATCTCATCTTGACCTCCACAGTTCCCCTGATCTGCCATCTCTTAATTACATTTCTTACTGTGGAAACTGCAAGCTGACAACGCTTTGCTATCTTCTTGTAGCCTTCTCCTGCATTGTGGGCGTCAATAACTTTCATTTTCAGGGTCTTACACAGCTGCTTAGAGGAACCCATGGTTGCTGGGTGTCCACAAGTGTGTGCACAAGGTTTGAAGAGTCAAAGTATTTGTACAGCTTTGAAATTGGCATTTACCAATGACAGCTGTTGCTGTGCATCAGATCTAACGAGCTGATTAAGGTCTGATACCTTGTGAGAGACTTTGAGACTCTGGAACTCTTAGGGTGCCCAAACTTTTGCACCATGCCATAATAATGTTTTTATTTTTTATTTTTGTTCAATTTATGGCATAAGAAGTAACTATGCATCACTGTTTGCAGAAAATATTGTGCATTTTTTCCATTTCCAAGAGAAACTGTGTTAACATCTGTTCAAATAAAAAATCACCAAAATCTGTTATTTATCAAGGGGTGCCTAAACTTTTGCATAAGACTGTAAGCGAACCCTAATGGATCAGTTGTAAAGTTCTGGGTCACCTTGCTATTATAATTGTGGCAACTGTGATGGAAAATATTAACCTTTAGTAAATGGTTAATTATTTTAAGTGACTAATCATTGATAAGTTTAGTGTTATAATTTTTTTTTTATTTCCTGAAGTACCTAACCACATTAAATTATGTTTTAAAAACATTAAAATAAAACTTCATACAGACTGAACAGATTATTATTTTTTTTACCAAATGTTAGTCTCTTTTAAGTTATTGTGTTATCTCCAGTATTTCTCAAAGACTGGTATTTAAAATCCATTTTCTCTAATTTGTTACATTTAGGCTAGTCTATTGTCAATAATGCAGACAGTTTTAGGAAATTTTGCTCTCCAATCTTTCTGCTAAGAAGCACTCTGCCATAAAGAACTATTTAAAGCAAGGAACACTCTCACATCTTAGAAGTGGGTCAAAAAGATGGAATGAAGAGACAGAATTAAACCCATATATAAATGTAATATGAAAATTGGGTCCTTTGTCAAGGATGTTAGCGTGATTGATTTGCATGCTAAACTAAAATTAAGTGTAAATTGCCTGGTGGTGACTTTTGCTCCATCTTAACTGTTGTGTGGGTTCATAGCATATTATCCACATTATTCAATATGGGCATGTCACTTATTGTTTCTCCTGTTTTCACCAACAGACAGTCCATTTAGACGGAAACTGGAGAGTGCGATTCAGTCTAGTCTAGTTGACACAAACAGCTCACAAAATTCAAGCGGTGAGTCATTTATTTTATGCATATATACAGTATGAGATGGATGTAAAGAGGTTTGTATGGCCCAACTTGCATCTATTGTTACTATATAAAACTCAAGTACAAGAGTTCTATTATTATTATCATCACACTACTTACTCAGACCTTGTTAGAGCACCTTTGGCTCTAACTGCCACACGTCACAACGGTAACTCAAAAGAACTTTTAGTTAAAGGTCAGAAAATGTATTTTCTTTATTATTATGAGCAATGGTTTTCTACATGAATATGGCATTTTCTGCAAAAGTTACTAAAGTCCTGGTGGTTTTCTCATTAGTTTTCTGTCTTTGCAGTTCTCACTGGTTTGAAGTGAGTTGTGCTAAGATAGAAAATGGTGTTGTCTTGTATTTCTATTCTTCAGTCAGCATTGAATGACAGTTGTGAGGTTGCTTGATTATTTAGTCTGGCTGCTGCCAATAAAACACGATAAAACTACACCTATTTTGCAAGCTGCGGAAATCACTGTGTTCCTGTAATAAATACTGTAGTTTTAACTCCCTCCCTATCTTTTTGTCCTTAGGAACTCCGAGCCCTCTGGTGGCCAGCTCCTTCTCTACAGCACAGAGTACGTCTTACCCCACTTTTGTGCTCAAAATGAAATATTCATGCTGCCCTCTTTCTCGTTTCACTTTTTTGTTTATCTGACATTGTTTGGTGCAAATAGCTTATTAATCATCTCCTGTGATTATACAGATTTTCTGCATTTAGCTTGATTATTGTGAGGGAATGTCTGAATAAGAAAGCGCCAGCGGATGCACGCAGTTACAAGTATCTGTAGGTGGACAAAGATTGTTAAACAGCTGTTAAATTTTTAAATGGTTTTAATTTGTAAACATAAGTGATTTGTGCCTTTTATTTGATAAGATACAGTAGAAACAGGAAATGAGGGAACAGAGGTGGACTGTGTGATTACCCTACATGGTCAGAGCCTTACACCTCTAGGTCCCACTGTACATCTGCTAAACATTGCATTAACCATTTGCTAATTAGTGCAAAAACCATTGCAAATTCTGTCACAATTTTTCCTTTTTGTCTTCAATAAAGATTCAACACTTGTCTGGGCCTTTTTTTTTAGAACCCTACACCTGTGGTGCCTGTGGCATCCAGTTCCAGTTCTACAACAACCTACTGGAGCACATGCAGTCCCACGCTGGTGAGTTCATGACCACAAATGCATGTTGAGCTCAACAGGGAAACAAGTACAGAATGTGGATATACCCTCAGTGGCCGCAGTGTATATAAAGATTGTATGATTAAGCATAATCATAGAATTATTGTCCACAACCTTAATTTTTTATAGACTTCTAAGGAATGTATTGCTGTAATGAAGGTTGTACACTTGGATCTGAGGCTGCTGAATGCTTATTTTTGTTGTTGTTGTTGCTGTTGTTGTTGCAAAAGTGCATTGTACATGTAGCCATGTAAATATGCAGCAGGTGCCTTGCCTACTGGTTGTTGTCATTTAATTAATCAGTTAGTATATAAAATATCAGGAATAATGCCCAATTCCAATTTCAAGCAACCACAGATGTGGGTGATGACATAATAATTCAGTCTTGCCAACAATAAAAAGGAAAAAGAAAAAAAACACAATTGTATGAAAACAAGGACAGCAAGCTAAGAGCCATATTTGAGAAGCTGTAACAGTGACATTTGAATTTTTACATAATAAATGACTGAAGTATAGTTTGCTTACCATGTACAGTATATATTAATCACATTGTCCTTGCATGCAGTTTAGAATTACGAGGTGCATCAGAAAAGTTCCAGGACTGGGGTCACAAAAATTTATTATGAAAAATTTATACAAACTGCAAGTTTTCCCGTTTGAAGTAATCCCCCTCAAGTCTACTGCACATTTCCATCATGGTCCACCACACCTCCATGCATTCTTGGAAGGATTCTCCCGGGATTCTCTGCAGCTCCATCGTCACGGCCCTCTTGATGGCTTCCACGTCCAGAAAACAGCTCTTGATGACCCTCTTGAGCTTGGGGAAAAGGTTTAAAAATCACACGGAGCCAGGTCGGGTGAGTAGGGAGGTTGCTTCAGCACTGAGATGTTCTTCTTGGCCAGGAACTGCCGGATGCTCAGGGCTTGTGAGCCGGCGTGTTGTCCTGATGAAGCAGCTACGACTTGTCCTGCCACAAATCTCGCCTCTTCTCACACAGTGAACAAATCAAATGCTGCAGGATCTCTGAGTTTCCCCAGCCGGACCAGAAACTTCAGGTTGATTCGTTGCTCTGTGCCCATCACTTGACGATCTAAGCTTGAGGGGCTGTTAAAAAGCATACAATGGCTGCAGAGAGCTGAGATTGCACTTATACACACCCCAGATATTAGGTCACATGGTGACGCAACCCACTAATCCCTCCTCCACTCATAGCTCACACAGCACACTCAGCCCTGTAACTTTTCTGAAGCACCTCGTATATAATCTGGACAGTCTTAAAATACAATTCAGGCTTGGCAAATAAAAACAAAAAATGTAGAAAAAAAAATCAACCTGACTTGGTTTTAACAAACATGCCCACCAGGAAAATAGGCGTCGGTCCACAGGTGAGGGTTCAAAGACAGGTAACGACTCTCACCAATACTGGGCTGTAACGACCAAGTTGTTAGGGGACATTGTTGGGCATCAAAGGACTGAAACACCACCAATGGGCATGAATATCTCTGGCCAAATGCCAGTCGAGCAGAACTGATAAAGCCTCTTGGATGAGAGGTGAAACACCTTCGACCTAAAACCAAGTCCAGTTGATTTTTTTTTCTACATTTTTTTTTTTCCACCTTACTATGACCTGGATGACTGAATCTGCACAGAAAAACAAAAAGATGTTTACACTGGTTGATCATTTCTGGTGACCTTTTGCTGTTTGTTGTTGCCCATGGGTTCTTGGAATTATTCCTCTGAGACCTTGGGTGTATTAAGGAAAACCTGGATCTCAGACTGAATCATGGTACCCAATTACTTGAATGGACGTTGTTCACGTGGTGCATAAGCCAAAAAAAGTTTTCTTCCAGGTTTGCTTTTGCGTTCTGGGACCCACTGTACATGCACATTAGTGTTTCCCCTGCTGGCCCTGCACGTGCACTCCCACTCGGCCCATAGACTTTACATTAAGATGATGTCATGAAAGTAAAACGGTTTTCTAGGCTCTGGGAAAGTTTTACAAATAAATTGGAAAATTAGTTGAATGGCTGAGCAGTGACGTTGTATCCAGGTTTCACTAATACATTCATGTCTGAGACAGACTTCAGTTAATAACATGCAAGATCTGTTCTCTGATCTTGTTTGAGAATTGACTTAGGAAACAATGTAGTCAACATTTTTCTGTGTAGATTTGTACAGTAGTTTTGAAAGCACAGTTTGCTAATGACAGACACAGGGAAGCCAAGTAATGTATTTTTAATCTCTTTACTTTCTTTGTTAAAACGATACAGTTTTGTTGCCGTGGCCTGACTTTAAATTTCTGTATCTGCTCAGCTGACAACGAGAACCACACCAAAGCTGACTCTCCCAAAACCTCCTCAGCTTTGGGTCCTCAGGAGCAGCTGTGGAGAGGTTCTCAGGCCCATTCCTCAGTTAAACTACAAATCCAGCCTCAAAATATCTCCCTGAGAAACCACACTGTCAGCTGTGAGTACTGCTGTCAGCTTCATTGTTTTCAGACTTACTGTAGGAGCTATGGAAAGGTTCATAGATCTCTTGACCTTTTGGACAATATGTTGTTAGAAAATGTTTATTAGGGCTGGGAAATATATCAAATTATTTGATTTTGTTGTTGCTTTTGAAAAATACCTAAATTGCAATATCAAGGTTGTGCTTCTTCTGCTGTCAACTCAAATGCCAGCAGTTCTTTGGCATTAAGACCGTAATGTAAGTTGGAGGTGATTACATATATGAGCTTTGCCAGTCAACAAGCTTAGGTAACGGTGAACGCAGCACCTAAAGACAATGAAGTAATATAAATGAAAGGTAGTCATATAACCTTAGAGAAATGGTTTGATTTTGCAAGGTCTGACATGGACCAGACCAGTGCACTGTGTAAAATTTGGAAAAACTTTATTCGAACTCAAAGTGGCAGCACGATAAACCTTTTTCAGTTTATTTTTAGTTAGCTTTTTGCCCAACAGTAGGGCTTTATTTTATTTAAAATGTTTTTTTGTTTTTTTTTTATAACAAAAAAATTCATAGTGACACCCTTGCCCCTTGCAAGTGCTCCCTTTTTGTTATTGTTGCACAGCTGCTCCTATTGTTAGCCTTGGCAGTGTTTACAATGTTAAAAGATAAGTCTTGCTAGTGATTTTTTTGGGGGGGATGTTGCACATTGCACATTCCCTAGGTTTCTGGGGAATGACGTGTAGTTTCAATAAAGAAGATTTTTTAAATCATGTTTTGTCTTGAGTTCATGTAGACAACAGTAACAAAAGGATTAAAATCATGTATTGTTCTGAACACTTAAAAAACGAGAGAGATTTCATGTTATGGGGCATATCGCCCAGTCTCATTGTTTATTATGGTGGCTGGGTAGTTAATAGGCATAACATATAACTGCCGCATCCCTAGTTTGATTGCTACTGGGAACATGTGTTGCATACCATACTTCTTTCTTTTCCTGTTCGTGTGTCTACTGTATCAGTCAGTAAATGCAAAACAATTGAATTATTATATTTTTCTGTACTGTAGATTTCATTTTGCTCAAGTAAAAGACAAATAACATCAAAAGTTCCCTAAGTCAGTTTGGTCACTAAAGCAAAGGCTGGTTTGTTCCCATGTTAATGCCCTTTTTTAATCATTCTCTGTTATCAAGTATTTCCTTTCCCCTTTTAATGGATATAACAAACATCAACACTAATGATCTTTTTCTATGTTTTGCTCTGCCTTCCTATCCATCTATCTGCTGTTTGTGCTGCCAGCCAATAACGGACTACCTGAGAAGGAGCGACAGCAGGTAGCTGAGCGCCTCTTACGGGTAATGTGTTCAGATCTGAGCATGCTAAATGTGCTCAACAGCAAGGACTTCCTCAAGTTGGCCCAGACCCTTGTGGATACAGGTGCTCGTCATGGTGCCTACTCCACCCGTGATGCTCTTGGCAACATGAGTGCCTTGGCACTGCGCCAGCTTTCCCGCATGTACAACCAAGTCAAGGTCAAGGTCACATGTGCTCTAGGCTCCAATGCTTCGCTTGGCATAGCTGTCACCTGTCACTCCCAGACATCTGGTCCAGATGCTTGCTATGTTCTGACAGCCTACCAGGTGGAGGGGTCGAGACTGAAGCGCTATGTGCTTGGTGTGAGGGAGGCTGAGTTGAGAGAAGGTCCTGAGCAGGTTCATCACTGGGTGCAGAATGTCCTGTCTGAATTTGTAATGTCAGACATTCGTACTGTGTATGTCTCAGAGCCCAGAGTGTGGGCAGCAGCATTTGCGGGATCACCACTGGGCGGTGGCCGGGGAAGGATATGCTTGCGATGTGCAGGGTGCTCACTCGGTGCAGTTGTCCAGGCTGTTCTTGGGAAACGCAGCCTCCAGGCTCGAGGTCTTCATGAGTTGGCTGAGCTTCTTTCAACATGCAGAGATATTGCCTCCTCCTCCACGCTGGCACTTCGTGAAGAACAGTTCACCAACTCATCAACAAGCACAATTGAGGAAGGTACACAGGGCGGCCCTGCACAATGCTCCACTCCTCCTTGTTGGGATCGCATGGCTGAGGCTCTTCTGCAAGTCCATGCCCACTTTGAACAGATTTGTGAGGCTTATGGACGCAGCAAGGCCACAGCACCACTCCTCCAAGGTCTCAACAAACATCTGCTAGGCACACTGGCTTGTCTGCTGTCACCTCTGCGTCTGGCAGCTCTGGAGCTGAGCAGCCAGAGGAGACCAACCTTACAGCAGGTGCTGCCTGTCTACCTACGCTTGGAGAAGTTTTTCACATCCAAAGCTGGAGAGGCTGGAACAGGCACGACTAGCAAACTCTGCCACTATTTCCTAGAAGCACTTAAGGAAAACTTTAAGGTACTTAACTGGTATTCATTGCATTGGTATTGCTTCACTGGTATTTTCCTGGTATTGCCTCCGTCGTGAGTTAAATGACCCTTGTTGTGTGAAAGTGTGTGATTCTCTAGGGCTGGGTATTGTTGAAATCTACAATACATTATAATGGCAAGGTTTCTGTACAGTTTTTTTTCAGTACCTCAACATATAAACTTGTTAATCCACAAAGTCTCATATGCTGTTTAAACAAAGTCAGCCATACCACAACTTGGCCTGAATATAAAACAGTGCAAAGCAGGCAATATTACTGATTTTAATTCAGGAACCATTTGGAAATGAATAAACAAGATTACAAATCTGACTGTAGATGTGAGATGCCAGCTTTTGGTGCTTGATGATCACTACAATTACCACCAAAAAGATACAGAGGTTCAGCACCCAGCCCTAATAAAGAGAACTTTGATATACGATGGTTGCATATGAATAACTGGTTTTTGGAAGGACAAAGTCACTGAAATGTTTCTTTTTCCAGGTTGAACGTGCTCACCAGGTAGCCATGGTTCTGGACCCACAACTCAAGCTGCGTTCAGTGCCAGCCTACCAGCATGAAGACATAATCTCCCGAGCATGTGAAATGGCTGCTGAAACCAGGGATGGGGGTGTGACGGGCGGTGGAGGTTCAGGTGGGGATGATCGGGACACTGATGGCCCAGCAGCCCCTAAAATAAGCCGCATAGAAGGAGGTGGAAACAATGGTGGCACCTCCAGGGGTACATCCTCATCTTGCACAGTGTCTGGTAATGGTGAGAGTCACAGCCAAGTCAGGCAAGAGATTTTCCAGTACCTGGCCGAGCCTCTTCTCCAAGGCACACCTGATCTCTTCCAGTACTGGAGCTCAGCAGTGGGTGAGAAGTTCCCAAAGCTTGCGCGCCTGGCGCTGTGGCTTCTTGCTGTGCCTGCTGTGGGCATATGCAGCGATTGTGTAACTGTGTGTGAGCAGAGCCTGGTTATGAAGAGCAGGCAGCAGGTAACCACTGAGGAGATGAACAAACTCATTTTTCTTCACTCCAACATAGGCTAAAAGAGAAACCCAACCAAACCTCACCCAATGACTCAAGACTATTATTTATATGCTGTAGGTTTAGAACAACTGTAAACTTTAATGTGTTTGGAAAGTTAAATACTTCTCAAGACAGGTTCATGTATTTACAGGAAAACTCGCATTGTATAGTTTGCAGCTACCCATAAAACAAAATGGCTTATTACATATTTTATATGGAGAAAGGACTGTTGTAAAGTACTGCGGACAAACTGTAGGGGGTGGAACGCGGTCACACTCAAAATATTGTCCTTTTTGGTACGCCGCCCTCGGTTTGGGATGCACATGTAAGCAGTCTTCTCATGGCCAGTGATTTGAATTATTCCAGCCTAATGACTAAACTGCTACAAGGCTATAATGCTGTTATTCTCAGTGGATGACAACATTTTCAGGTAAAATCAGCTTTCACTGCTTGAAACTACTACAATAGACCTCTAAAAACAACCCTACTAGATTATCAAAGTGGTCCGAGAGATGGCAGTAAGTATTGTAGCATATGCAATATGTTATAGAATTATCATTTTCATTGTTGTATGACCAAAAAAAAAATAAAGTAGTGAGTCTTCACTGCTATTGCACCTCTGACAGTTAAGTGTACTAGGTTTATAACCTATCGCTGTCTACCCCTGAAAATACTATCTTTCCACATTAAATGAGCTGGGCAGATAACTGAATTGAACCATTGCAGCTAATTTGATGGCTGCTTCAGTGGTGTCAAAATGGAGCTGTGGGCTATTTGCATGCACTGCATGCATTTTTCATCTATTATGTTATATAATGGCTGATTAAACATAATTCTGATATAAAGCCTTCCCCCTGGCTTATGTTACAAATTATCAAGGAAAGTCATATCAAGATCCGAATTATAAGGTTCACCTGAATAAGTCGGGATTTTGATTGGGTTTTCTTTACAAATAATGGTATGTTAGCATGCACAAAGGGGATAGCTTTATATTAGAACCTGTTTGTGGTCAGTTTTTACACTGATTTCATTCAGCCTTACAGTAACATTGCTGGATTGCCCCAGTGAGAAATTTAAAAACATTTATAAATGTTACCTTAAAATAATATGCTTTAGTATTTGATGGCACAACCCAGCTTGGATGTCTGGTTTCATAGTTTCCAGTGCTGGTAATTCAGCTTTGTGAAAAGAGATCGTACAGTTGCTTCGGTGCACCTCTTTTTACATCAAAGACATTTTGCCTGTGGATTGCCATCAGATAATCAGCAGTAATGTTATTAGCCATCACTTTGGTAAGCTTTTAGGCATTTATTTTATTCATAATTGCATAAGTTCTTATATGGCTGCCCACTGTGTGTGTGTTTGTCAGTTAGAAGACTTGTCCACAAGGAAGGTATGATTATTTTATTTATAATTTTTGTAATATTGTTCTAAGTCTTCCTCATGTAAGCTACAAATTTCCATTTTCTTTTTAAAGAAATAAGCTTTATTGTAGGGCATAGTTTCCACCGTTATCTATTAAAAATGACTGTTCTTATGATGCACCTACAGTTAATTATTAACAGTAAATTATTTCTGTTTGTGGAGTTAATGGGATTTTCTCAGGAATGAGTGCACCCAAGCAGGCACCGGCACTTTTTCCTCACTGTACCGAAAACACACCAAACTGTGACCTCAGTGCCGAGGCATGTACTGAACCGTGACTTTTGTGAAACGTTCCACCCCAAATGCAGTTAGTGCCATTTGCAACAAACGGGGAAAAAAAAAACAGATCACTGAGGGTTTATTTTCTTCAGGATGAAATAAATTCTGCCAGTACATTCACTAAAGTTGACATATACATACAAAGGAAGTCGTTATTTATTTTTTTATGGACTCTAGAATACACTTACATGTGCTGATACCTCCTAAAATGACTTGGATGCATGGAAGTTGTACTGTTAATTTGTTTGTTGCCCCTGGTACTAATTAGTCACGTACTTCTTTGTCATCTGTGTTTTGGGCCTTAAATCTCTTCTCATGCGAACACCTTAAACCCTACAATCAGAGCCAACATCATGCTTTTATATTGCTGTTCAATGGCCTTCTTTTTCAATATCTTTCCCAATGCTTGTAGTGTTTTTTTCCCTCCTGTAGACTCAGTCTTATGGCTCATGGCTGGAAACAGTGGCCTCTAGTGGTCAAGGTTGACATTTAACAAAGGCTTTACAAAGAGTTCCCGAGGTTTTAAAAGGTTGGATTAATTGGGTCATCTCTCAGTTCATAAAACAGGTCAGGAATAGTTTTAATAGCACACGGAAGCACAAGTATCCACTGTATATGACTCAGTAGTACATTATAAGGCCAAATGAGGACATGTCACATTAGCAGGTTGTCATTAAGGTCACACCAGAGCAGGAAGCTCTACGTGTGAATTAACAGGGAAACTCTCACCTGCATGGCTTTTTTTTTTTTTGTGTGCCAGAGACTACATCATCTTCCCCTTGTATATTAAAATACTAATAGTTAACACCTGAAAATGCCAACTTTAACATATATAGTGGAAAAAAGTGTTTTTGCATATTACCCAGCTTTAAGACACAATACAACATAAGGTGCACTAATAGTTAAACGTTTGGACACACTTTCCTACTGAATTGAAGGGGAAAGTGTGTCTGAACTTTTGACTGGTAGTGTATGGTCACATTACACTTCTGCCCAGTGACTAAAGCCTGTATGGTGGACAAATTCAAGTGATGCACTGTACTTTAAAATTGGAAAATCAGAATTCTAATGCTGTCATCTTCTTGTTTTGTACAATGGTACACAAGCAGTCAAACTGCAGCATCACTCTCTGTTTGTGATCTCCCTGATGAATGTGCAACCACATCGGAACCGTGACAGGGCTGAGGGCCAGGCAATTTTGTTAAACATAAGGATAACGTAACAAAATGTGACTGTAATTTTAGGTTAAAATGGCACCAGGAGGAGGAAGTGAGCACAGCACGCCACAGGAAAATTGGACCATTTTCCTGTATAAAGAAGACATTTTTCATGGCCTCACTAAAATAAGTGTTTTTGTCTGCCAAAATAAATTTGCTTTGTTTTTTATTTATGAGAAAATCTGTCAAGATTTATTAAAAATCCATTCAAGGCCTTGAATGCTTAAATTATGTAAAGCAAAGGTGAATGGCTCTGCATTGCAAACTGTTTGACTACTGTAGCCCTCCTTACCTCTTTATTTTTAACATTTAGGTTCTCCGTAGGAACTATTATTATCCCTGTGTTGATTTGGTTATCCAACATGTTAACAGTTTTTGGTTTTGTAAACCTTGGGGAGAATGGTTTGATTCAGTGCAGGCTGACCAAGGCATCCTTCATTGCATTATGATCATTTGCATTCCTGAAATCAATATTTATACTGCTGTTTTCAAACTGATTTATGTCACACATTTATATTTTGGTAAAAAAGAAAGAAAATTGCTGTGAATTATATTTAAAATTTCATTTGTTTAGGTACCAATCCAATGTTTTACCTTGGTACTCAAAGTATTGTTGTAATTTAGTGATCGAAAATCAGTTTTTCATACCAAATTTAGCTTTGGTTAGAAAAATTGTCAAACATTATTTTGTGGTTTTAGCAGTGCTTGCTGATCGAACTGATGAAGAGATTTTTCTTACAGTTTTTAAATAAGTATTTTAAATAGGATATGCTCTGGGACAAAATGCCATTGTTGATGTAATGATGTCAACTTAACTTTGCTTAGAAATAGCATTGTTTTGTTGATTAAGTGAGAATTATATCTAAGATATGCATGCTTTTAATAAGAGTACTGATATATCAAATTATAAGCCAGTATTTCTCATCAGATGGAAGTGATACATGTTGGCTCTGAGTAGATGTTACCTTAATGCACCCATCAAGCAACCGCAGACTGAATTTTAACATTTCTATGTGGGAGTAGTGATGCTGATTATGGGTTGGTGGTTATCGGTTGACATCATCCATTTTCAGAGGATGTATTATGTAAATATAAGAGAACTGCTGTTTTTATGCCACAAGGGGGCGCCCTGATATCAGAGCTAGTGTAGGGAGCACCAATAACATTATACCTCTTTTTTCTACAGTAGCATTTCAAAAGGTTTTGATATAATAGAAAAGTCAACTTAGATAATGTTAGTAGTTAACTGAAATCAGCTGTAAGTTTTATTTTGTTTCGAGATTTTAACTTATTCAGATAATAGAAGTTCAATTGTAAAATATTCTATAAGAGTGCTTACATGGAGATCTGTTCTGTTTAGCTATGGATTATACTCTGTATTACTAATTCAGGTTAAGAAATTAGTGTTGCTTTCGTCCTATCTTACTGGCATTTCTTCTTTTTATATTCTGCTAAAATGCAAAAAAAAGTTAGATTCTATTCCGTTTGTCTTTTATTGCACTTTGGCGGCAGGTTCCTGTGTAGATTCAGATCTGAGTTGTCTTATTAGTAAGCCTAATTTATACTTTTGTAGCAACACTATTTTTATATAATGGTGAAGAAAGTTTTTTTGTTTGTTTGTTTTTCCAGTGTCATATATGGAAGCGTTGTTCAATGTTTCTTGAATACATTACCCACTGTATTATGTGATGTGTGAATAAACTCCAAATCTGTGTCCAACTATATTGTTCCGTCAGTAAGAGGATTAGCTGTCTGTGACGGGATATGCCAAGGGACCAGGGTATTTTAATGTCAAAAATTGTTTTAACCCAGTGCAAGCATGTTTAAAGGATTAGAGTGAAACTAAAAAGGTTAATGTTACCTGTGCCCTGCATTTTGGATGAAAGCATCCTTTTCAAGTGAAGGAGGGCAGGAACATTTTTAGTAAATCTGCTCTTATGTTTATGTAGCATGAGAACTTGAGAAGATATTTGGTTAGTTTCCTGTCAAACAAGAATGGTTGCTTATCTTCAGTGTGAATAAGGATTGCCACTCAGAAAGAAATGAAGCTTTTCACAGTGGTGGAGATTGAGAAATGGAATCAGAATCAGCTTTATTGACCAGGTGTGTTGGACATGAGGAATCTGGAAGATCTCAAACAAGCAGAGGGGAAAGAGGCCTTGTATAAGGGCAGAGTGATTTAAAAGGCTGCTTAGAGGTGTGTGCAAAGGTTCCCCATGGCTATGGACAGGACAGAAGAGCGAGGGAGTGTTTGTCACTACCTGCTGTCTTTCTTCTTCCTCTTGTACCCACTTCAGTCAGCCCCCAAGATGCAGCAGTCTGCAGCCATGTAGAAACACCTACCCTCTCGACTGCCTACCAAAACTTAATTTGCAGCACATGCATCCACGTTTTCCCTCCGCTTTTCTTCTACTGCTTCAACACCCCCACCCACCCACACACATGCTACAAGCTCCTTCCTTTCTCCACACCTCAGTCCTGGCAGTGACTTTTTCCTATTGAGATGCTAAGTATATGGCACAAAATGTTTGTGAGCTGGCCCTCAGAAAATCAAAAATGGGGAAAACCACCCATCTGCTGGACAATTGCTTCTATCTTGTTCCCGAGTTACAGTTTTGGGCAGTTGCAGATAAACTCTTTCTCAAATACAGTAAGGAGGAAGGAATATGTGAAGCTGCCTAAAAGCCAAAAACGCTTTTTCTCCTCCATTTGCCATTGTTCTAAAATGATGAATTCAGACTGACTGCATTTGAGGTGAATTTAAAGGTGGCTCCCTCTGTGTATCACTATGTGAACACTAGGTGGCAATATCTGGCTTTTTATCAGTTACAAAATAACAATAAAACCATCACCCCTGCAATATTCACACAATTCAGTACAATGGCATTGCAAACTAAGGTCTCAAATTATTCGAAGATG